GAAACACAAGGCCCAGGGCGCTTGGTCCACAGCCCCGGGTGGGGGGAGGCAGCAAAGAGTTTCAAAGCCAACTCGGTGTGAGGAGGGCTTTGAAGATGGTGCCCCGAGAGGGACTGCGAATAAAAGACTAAGACCTCCGAGGGAGCGGCGCGGGAAGAGTCTTCTAGAGAGAACGGCACAGGCAGGGGCAGAAGGCAGTGTGCTGCCTTTGGAAATCGGGAAGAAAGAAGCCTGGAGAAGGCGACCTGCAGTGAACGGGGGTCGGAGGTGGCGCATGTCACGGTGACCAGTGGGCGTGCGGGGGCTGAACCCCGTGCGGCGTTCACTCCTGTAACCATCGCTGCAGCCTGTGCGGTGGGTGCGGGTGGTGCGGGTGGCAGCCCTGCGCTTACCTCCCCGTTCAGGTGACGGGCGCTGTGGCCTGGCAGTGGAGAGGGTGCAGAGGAGAGACCTGTGCAGGGGGAGCTGTGCTGGGGGAGCGCTGATGGGCTTCAGTGGTGAATTGGAGGGAGAGGGAGACACCTGAAGGGAGCCGGGTCTCTTCTAGGTCAGTGGTTCTCAACCTTGGCTGCACATTAGAATCACCTGGGAATCTTTTTAAAATCCTGATTTCCGAGCCTCATCCTCCAGAAATTCTGTTTCTTTGTTATGGGGTGGGGCCACAACATTAGTAACAAAGAAACAGAATTTCCGGAGGATGAGGCTCGGAAATCAGGATTTTAAAAAGATTCCCAGGTGATTCTAATGTGCCGCCAAGGTTGAGAACCACTGTTCTAGAGCATCGTGGGGGGATGGGGTGCCACTTAAGGAGATAGAGACTTGGGGACCGGCAGGATGGTGGGAGGGAGGATATGTGCCAGGACTTGGGGAGCTCCTCGAGTCCCTGAACCTGGGCCTGGTGCATAAAAGGTTTCAAGTGTTTGTTCAAAGGACAATGAAATCCAGGGAGGGAACAGCCCGAGCAAAAGTGTGGAGGCAGAAAAGGGAGGCCCATTTGAGCAGCAGTGATGTTGGTGTGAAGGGCAGAGGGCACAGGTGGCCCCAGCCAGCCCAGACCTCATCCCATAATCGGTACATCATTGACGGGCGAGGGGACTCTCAAGCCTCAATGGCCGATCTGAAAAGCACCTCTGTGGCTGCCGCTCCTGGGAACTACGTACATCTCTGCCTGAATGACTGTGAAAGCCTCCTAACTGGTCTCTCACCTTCCACTCCCCCCTCCGCAAAACGGCCAACGTGATCCTACAGAATCGTGTCAGACCTTTCTCTCCTCTGCCCCACACCTTCCTGTGAAGGCCGAGTTCTCAGGGTGCCTAATGAGGCCCACCTGGCCCGCCCCTTCTGCTGCTCTCTCCCCTTCCAGCCATTTCTCACACCTCTGCTTCAGGGCCTTCGCACTGGCTGTTTCTCTATCTAGATTCTAGAATGATCTTCCCCCACATACTACACTCTCCCTTGAGTCTTTGCTCAAACATCATTTCATTGAGGCTTTTTCAGACCCTCGGGTTTAGACCTGCATCCTTTTCCTGGCTGGGTAGCTCAGCTGGTTAGAGCATCGTCCCAATATGCCCAGGTTGCAGGTTCAGTCCCCAGTCGGTGTGCATGCATAAGGCACCCAATTGATGTTTCTCTCTCCCTCCTGTCATCTCTCTCTAAAAACATCTTCATGTGAGGGTTAAAAAGAAAAAAGTTAGCCTTTGGCCGGTGTGGCTCAGTGATTAAAGCATCAGCCCATGGACTGAAGGGTCACCGGTTCGATTCCCAGTCAAGGGCACATACCTGGGTTGCAGGTTCGATCCCCGGCCCCCACTGGGGGTGAGTGAGGAAGGCAACCAATTGATGTGTGTCTCTCACATCAGTGTTTCTATCTCCCCCTCTCTCCCTCCTCTCTTCCTCCCTCCCTCTCTCCCTCTCTCCCTTTCTCTCAAGTCAGTCAATAAAAAAAGAATGCAACCCTCCATCCCTGATTCCTGTTTACTATTCTGTTTTTCTCCATTACATGTATCACCTTCTAAAATACTGTTTACCACCTCTTCCCACTGGCCTGTATCCTCCACGAGGGCAGGAGGCTTTGCCTGTCGGTGTCCTGCTGTGTGCTCTGCACCTAGAACAGTGCCTGGCACACAGTTAAGCACTTGGGACATACTTGTTGCATAAGTCACTTGAGCATCTGGGAGCCAAGAGGTCTTTCAGCAGGATCTGTGTGGAGAGTGGGTTTGACAGAAAAGAGCCCAGGCCATTACAGTAATTG